AAAAAAAAAGGCATTTCCGTGACTTGCTTATATACATATAAGTTTTATACAGGCCCGGTAAAAAATATAGACCTCAAAGCACTTACGGTTGTCAGTCATTGTTTCCGACACCGCCAAACATTCACATGTAGAAAAGCTGAGGAACAGCTTTCACAGATTTATAACGAATAGGAATATTTATCATGGACATACCCTAAACACATAAAATACAAAAATGGATTATATTGTCAACATCTTCCCTCTGACCTCAAATAAAATGCATACTACTTAGATAACAGAAACGGCGTTCTGCCAGATTACATAATACATACAATCATCTACGGTACATAGAGAGAATTCAAAATCCATACAGGTCCACAAAGTAAAAAATAAATACAATAACTGAAATACATTGGCAGAAACGTTCATATTGCAGTAGGTTGGTTGTCTGTTTAGTGTCTACTTTGCCAGCATTTAATCTGGTGTGCACAACTGATGTGTCTGTTGTGCAAATATCTGTTTCTCTGTTTTAATACAAACACTGGACAAAGCATATGAAAAAGCGGTCTCTATTTGACTGCTCACATTGCATTCACAATTTAACTTTCATATTCATTACATTTGTATTATTTCCAGACCAAAAGATTCCCTTTTGGGATGTTGAAGTCAAGATGTTAAGATGTTTTAGTGTGGTTTAGAGGAGCGGAACATCATTCTTACCCATAATAATAGAAAAATTAATCAGTACTGAGTGTTGGTCAGAGAAAAGCAGTGATTGTTGTCTTGAGTCCATAAACACAAATTAATAAATAATAAACCCCCACACAGAAGCAGAAATGAGAGTGAGGCCTAAATTGTGAAGAGTAAATTAAAAAAAACTATATCAACTTTATACCGTGTGCTTAGAGACTCCTGAGCTTCCAGAAAACTACCCCACAAGCCAACTGTGAAACGAAGCCACTGAGAGCTGATCAAAGATCAGTTTTTGAGTTATACATTTTAGAACCTCCAATCTAAAAGGTCCATTAAAAAGATCAGATAAAAGCACCACATTGGAAAATGAAATGAATATGAACACTGTGTGCAAGGTTTTATAAAAGTAACATCATTATAGACCCAATAACTTTGAACAGAGAGGGGATAGAAATTGACTATAAAAGGTAAAAATGTTAATCAGGGCATTGTTAATCATACTGTACTGTAGCTCTCTGGAGTTAAATGTTAATATAGGTATTTTCCGACATTCACAAATGATTAAAGTTTAGAAATAATGTCAAAAACCTGCAGTGTGACCCAAAAAAGAAAACATGCCAGGAAAATAGCAAATTGCACATATTTGATTTTAAAATCAGTGCCAAAACCGACGTTGATACAAATCCTTAAACCTCGATCTACTTTCAAATTACAAACTGTAAGTTTAGATCTAGTTTTTAGTGATATTAGCTTGTTGTGGGGTAGATTTTTCTAGATTAAACTTCAGTTCTGTGCAGCATTAAGGTGCATTATAAAAATGTTCTGTAACATGATTTAATGTGTAACATCTGACAAAGACTTGAAAAAGTTGCTGAAATGCTTCAAAACAAAAGAGCAAGACAAAACAAAATTAACTTCACGATACCCACTAACCCAAACCCTGTAACTTCTGTCCACAGGTACACATTTTTAACAAACATTTAAAAACGATTTGAATATGCATAAATACTGCATCCACTGTGAAGCTGTATAGAAAAGTTCTTCAATACAGTCTTGTGAAAGACTGACAATGTACTTCCTTTGCATATTCTATCTGCATTTTCTTCAGGTCTGCAAAAGCAAATCCTCTGCAAAAGATCACATCGGTCCCAAACCTGCATGATGCGGTTCACCGACTGTTTTATTTGGGACAACACAATACTGTTCAAGACTACAGTCAGCCCTTCATCTAAATACTTCAAGACTGCGGTATCAGTCTCAGATCTGTGTGTAACAGAAGCATCCAACCCTGACATCAGCTCAGACTATTGTTTGAGTGACAGCCAAAGAGAAACTGTAAGTAATGCCTGTCAAATGATAGATCCATTAAAACCCATTTCCTCTGTTAAATGTTATGAGCCAAATGGAAGCAATAAAAGAAAGGCAGCTTCATTGAGAGCTTTTATTGAGCCGAAGGCTCTTCGGGTTTTCTTTCCAGCTCCTCTATAAACTAGTGTTCACATGTGCCCTAGTAAAGCCCATTAGTGTCCATTTCTTTCTTTTTTCTTCTTCACTTAGATTATTTAATCTCAGGGCGAGTCTAAAAGTACAACTGTATTAAAGAACAGTTGCATGGTTATAAAGGATTTTACATCCTGTCAGTTGGAAATTAGCAATGAATGACTTTATGATTTTGCATCCATCGACAGTACAAACAGTTAGAAGAATATAAATTCAGTTTACATTCCTTAAATTCAAATTGCTTCAGTCTTGCCTAAACACCACATCGTGTATAATGATAGAAAATGCTTGGGATTTTATGAGAGGGCCAGTAAAAAACTAGACCAAACATGCATTGTGTAACAAAATCATCTGTGATGGGTAGATCTGAAATGATTTTTCGATGTTGGCCCAAGTGTTTGGAGGCCATGTAATTTCTGTATCCAGCAGAAATGAGTGTTTTTATATCAACGCGTTGCTCTCAATAGCTGCATTAAGGCAGATGATTGGAAGACGTCATGGAACATCAATCATTCAAGTCAGACTACTCGCATGTTAGCTGCTATGCCACAAGAGCACATTAGTAGCGTTTTAAAAACGTACAGGAACACAGAATGAATATTTACAGAACTATATACACAAACACAGCACACAAATATTAGGGGACCCTTGGCATGGCAGCAATATGTGCACTGAAAAGAGAGAATATGGCATGCAAGCAACCTTGACAGTTGATTGGTCCAGTATGGAGGAGTATGGGCAGTGGAAGAAAAAATTTAATTCAAAAGACAGATGCACAGAGATTCAAAAGCAAACCAAGCATCTGAATTAAATGAGAGAAAAATCTAAATCTACTTGAAAGAAGGCAATCGTAAAGCAACTAACCATGAAATACTAAGCCTGGATGTGGGATATTTTAAATATACAAAGCTATTTTATCTGTAACATTCAAATGTATTTACTTTTTACAAAGTGAGAATCATTTTTGGTCTTTTTTTTGTTGTTGTTGCTCTTAGGGCGCATGCTGTCTTAAACACAGAAAGAGCTGGAAAACTCACCAATGAGATGCTCTCATCAGATTTACTCCAAAAAAAAAGTTATAACAAAACTAACCTTCATATATGTATATACAGAAGCCACTGAGAAATATAAGTTGTCTGCTTATCTCTGACACACACTCCGTCACAGCATAATGCCTTTTGAGATAAGTGTACCAGAGAGCTAGCATCTATTAGTCCGAGTAACATCAGTTCAGAGAGAATCAAAAAGTTTAAAGGCCTAAACTAAAGAGTTTGTGCATCCTGCGTGCTCTGTTTTAAATGTTTAAGAGCGAACAAAGGCTGTAAAGAGTGTGACTGAGATACTAACATCCCTTTTCGAATAATTTTGTTGTTAAAATTGGTTTTAGCAGCATTTCCTGTGCAAGAGAAAGAGCCACTAAAACTCCTCGCTCAGTGGCTTTCCTTCATTCTTTCAGTCTCTCACTCACTTTTAAAACATATTTCATTGTGCTGAGGACCTGAAGTTCTTTCCGAAGCTCCCATTCAGAGGAAACCCCCATCATACCAGCGCTCAGAAGCACCCCTCATCTCTTTCGAGGTTCTCTTGTTTAAATCCTCTGCTCTTCTCTACTCTCATCAGTCATCAGTCGTCGCTCTGCTCTTACTGTGAGAAGAAAAAAAAAGCATTTGCGCTTTAATAAAACAATTTTGGGATCAGAATGAAAATATTTTAGGTACATATGTAAATTTGTTCATTTAAAACTTACAAAACAAATGTCAGTTTCTGGGATGATGTATTTGAGAGAAACAGCATCTTCGTTACTTAACTGCTCATCTAAGTATTCGGCTCCGGTGCTGAAGAAGAAGACAGAACATATTAACATTTTGTCATTATATACACACCCTAAAGAAGTTCTGGGGTCGGTAAGATTTTCATGTTTTTGAAAGAAGTCTCCAATTTATTTGATCAAAAACACAGTAAAAACATTCATATTACTGCAA